GAGCGGTTCTGCGTTCTCTGTATGAAGCCTTTGCAAAGCAGCAGAGCCAAGATTTCTTCTCCCGTTTTTACAACACGCCGCATTCACAGGCAAATTCAGTTTGGCTGGAAATTAAGCCACCGAGTTTCAGAGGACGGAAGTGGAGACTGTTGAAACGGCTTCCCAGGTACTACCCGGTAGAACTGAGGAATGATGAAGTAACTGAGAAGGGCAAAGGTATTATAGTTCACTATTCTGTTCTAGCTCCAGTTTGAGGCACTCTCAGATAGTACCTCTGGGACCCCGTGAGTTTATATAGTCCCTGTTCTCTGATATCCAGAGCCCTAGCAACCTGAAACCTAATTCTCATTTGCCTGTCAGCTAACACAAGGAGGTATCCTTAACACCACTACCTAGAAATCTCTTTAAAACCCTCTTTTTAAAATTGTAACATCTGATCTGACGAAGATTTCCGGGGAACTGGAATGTCTGCATGCTGGTTTTATGTGGATCGTGTTCTAAAAGACCATAACTAAGTCTATCCATGGTTTTATCTATTACCCATTGTCATGATCTGGGCTGTGCAAGCAAGGCCTAGTAGGCCCAGGGAACCTGGCTAGCAGTAGGGGAGGCTGGGCCTACAAACCCCAGGAGGCCTTGGGAAGTTTTGGCACCGATTTTGGCCAATAGGGAAGAAGAGGGCTGGGGAATAAAAGACCTGGTGCAAGAGGAGAAGCTGTTCCTCTTCCCAGGGAACAGGGCCAGAAGGAAGGCTGCTGTGGGGAAGAAACCCTCATCCTGAGGGAAGGGTGAGTAGTCTAAGGCCACTTGAGATAGTGAGCTAGGGACAGTATATTTAGACACGTTTGGGCATTCGATTTCTTTTTTCACCCACTTATTCCTGCACCTTGTTTGTTCGACCTCCTGTCATGATCTGGGATGTGCCACCAGAGGCCTACTAGGCCCAGGGAGCCTGGCTAGCAGGTGAGGCTGGGCCTACAACTCCTTGTTGTTTGACCTCCTATACAGTAAACTATTTTCATTGTTCACTCTGCCTGGTCATCACGCCTATTATTCAGCCAAAAGGGAGGTCTAAAGGTCTTGGGAGGGTGCTCTGGGCCTTCTCAAGGGAGCCTGGAACCAGAGTGGTGGCAGCGTCAGGTGACACCCCAGCTGAGCCGTGACACCTCCTATAAAATAAACCGTTTTCATTGTTCACTCTGCCTGGTCCTCAAGCTCATTTTGGCTAAACGGGAGGTCTAAAGGCTTGGGAGGGTGCCCTGGGCCTTCTCAGAGGAGCCTGGAACCAGAGTGGTGGCAGCGTCAGGTGACACCCCATCTGAACCATGACACCCATCATTACTCAGAACACCAGGCTAAAAGGAAAGAAAAAAAAGACTACACAGAGCAATGGTGTGACACAGTGAGGTGGTTCTTATGTATTTAATAAAACCGGTGAGATTGGATTAGACAGATCTACAACAATTCACTTCATTTCCACTACCATGACGAAACCAAGGAATGCAAGCAACTCGAGATAATTTTCGTACAGATTTTAAATTCCACTGTTCAGACACGTGTAATTCCCAAGTCTGTCAGCTGTCGATCCCTAGCTGTTAACAAATATCACTTAGTGATGGGATTTGTACTCCAAAACATTCCAAGACATTTTTAAACTCCTTGAATAGATCCAGAACTTTAAAAATACTGTGTGACATATACCCAGCAAGCAGGGTGCAATTTACAAAAATATATCTAAGAAACTTCTATGTCTCCTTTGGTCAAAGGAGTCAGGCTGCCACAACTGGATTACCACCGTGTAATAAATAAGAACTTTTAAATAATTTAATCCATCATTTAAGGCTTGATAAAATAGCTTGAAAGAAACAAAATATGCAGGGACTGGCCCATCACATATTTTGTCTTCCAGTTGAAAAGGTGAGTTTTAAAGAATGCAGAACTAGTGAGGGGCAGACTGATATCCTTGTAACTCTCAGTGCAGCCATCAACATTGGTCAAATCCCCCCCCCGCCCCCCTCGATTTTCTTGCTTCATTACTCGAACTGCAACCTGAAGGAATCACACCAAAGAATGACATTCTGGACCCCTTGGGTCTCCCAGAGTAACCTGCCGGTTCTGTACAGTGAAAGGAAAAGGTAAAGCAAGGTTAGGGCTGTGATCTGCAATCAGTTTGTGGCCTCAATCAAGACAGAAAGAAAGGGTTGCATCACAGCACGAGGAACTAAACTGGAGTCAGACTGGCAGCACGGAAGTCCTTACACTAGCATGAGATGTATTTTATTTTAGGGCTACGCCCTCGGGTTTAGTTTTGCATTCCTGCGCCACCTCGGCGTGATGTCTATCACTCAAGCACATAAGAACACCAGCATACACAGAGGCTTCCGGTTGGCTTTTCCCTAAGGCTTGGGTTTGGCCAAGTATTCCCGATACATCGAATAAAGCACACCTGCAAGACAAAAGAGAGAAAGGGTTGAGGGGATGTTATCAGTCGGATTCAGGCTCGCATTCGACAGGGTTTTTTTGTCTGGCTGGAAGGGAAGCACAGAGACAGCTCTTGTCTAGAGATGTAAAATTTCCGGAAATTTTGAAGCTCGGAAAAAAAACGGAAATTTTTGGAAAAATTGGAAAAAATGCTACATTAGCATTTCTTTTGTTTT